TAAAAATAATGCAAGTATGCTTAAAGACATTTCAAAAAGAACAATGTTTTTAAAGTTGTTGGAGATCACCGTGGAAAAAAAGCTGGTAAATAAAATTAAATATTTTAAAAAGGAGGAAAAGAAACAGCACCCATCTCCGGAATGAGCTAAAAGATTTAATATATGTTGGCTAAAAAACAGCAGAAAGTATGCAGAAATAGTTTATATAGATTATAGAGAAAACAGCGTGTAAATTAAGTTCTCATACCCGTATTTGTTGGAGGACTCTTCAATGACCTCCCTCAGGTTCTCCTTGATTGAAACGTCCATGGAGTTAAATTTCTGTTTTACTTGTTTCAGAGGGAGGCTGTAAAAAAAATGGCATTGTAACATAATATTTAACTAAATAAACCTTTTACCAGGAAAAACTGCTGTTAGCACACGGACGTGAAGCCAGCACACCCCATGTCAGCCAAATACTCCTGGAGTTTCTTTTGTCCGTTTAAGGTCCACAGCTTGAAGCTGCAGGAGGTGTAGCAGGAGTTACAGATGCTCTCATACAGAGACCAGTGCTGGTAAAGCGTTAGACGCAGGCTGGAGGACACAGATTAAGGAATAATCTGGAAGAAGAAAGAATCTGAACACCTGTTAGGGCGAGCTGACAGGTAAATAAAAGATACTCGTATTCAAAGGAGATCCTCATGCAGTCGATGGACAGGGAGTTCTCCTCGTCCTCGTTTCGGTGGTTATGTCGGGAAACATGCCGCTGCATCGTTGCGATATCTGTCACGTATTTTATACTAAAAAAAAAAAAAACACAGCTCTGTGAGACGTTTGATGCAAACATTTATAAAAACTTTGAAAACACTGATGCTCTTACTGTGTGATCTTATCGTGAACCCACTGGTCTGTCAGCCCTATAACGGCCCACCTGCAAAACAAAACATCAGCCCGTGTTGGTGTTTCTCTTTTTTACAAGTCAAAACGGAAAATAAATTAGGAAGCTCACCACAGCATGTCTTTGGTATCTTTAGTTAAAACCCAGGCGAGCTCAAAAAACATCATCGCAGCCTCGGGGTCGAAAAGAAAAAAGAAAAGAAAACAAAAAAACAATCATAAATTTAAAACATAGACAGCTGTAAAATCTAAAGATCATTATCTGTGCTGATTTGGGTTTAAACATTAATCTCCTTTCAAAAGTGTACTCACAGATGTCCCGTGGTATTCATACTGCTCGTAGTCGAACAAGATTTCCCTCCTAAGAAAATCAAATATTAGAAAAAAAAAAATAGAAAAAAAAACATACAAGACACTAAAAAAATAACAAAAAACAAAAAACGCTCCACCTTCGTGCCTCCCACTCCCTCCTTGCTCGCTGCCTCTCGATTCTCCTCTCGATCGCCGCCTGCAGCACACAGCAGCACAGGTGTTACAGTCCCAACCCTCCCTTCACCTCTGCTGCATCCGCTAACCCACAAGGTTCTCAAACTGGGGTCCCAGGACCCCCAGGGGTCCGCGACAAGGTTATAATAGTTTTGGATTTTTCATTATAGTTTAGTTTTATTTCATTTGGATCTTTTTTTTCTTTAAATTCAGTTAGTTTTAATTAGTTTTTAGAGTGGGTTTGCTAGTTTTTATTAGTTATTATTGATTGTTTAATGCTTAGTTTTAGTTTAGTTTTTATTAGTTTTCTTTCTGGTTTATTTGCCAACGCATCCTCAAGCTTGTGGTGTTCCTGTTAGTTCACTAACCAGCAGCTATTTGGTCACTAGTTAAAGCAGTCCATTATAACACCTTCCTAAAATAATTGTGTAACTCAATTTTGCCAACTAAGGACTTGGGTGATTATTTTAGGACGATGACAATATTTGTCTTCAACCTGGTGCTACCTGTTGATTGTTTTCATGGGAGCTACTGAGAGAAGCTAGCGTGTCAAGATAGTCATAGTTAGTCATCTTGTGTGAGCTTGATTCATGCTGTTTTTCCCTTAAGAAGTATTCCACCTGTTTTATCACCTGTTTCCACTACAAGACACTTGCTTTTATTTTTCTCACATCATACTCAAAGAAATCCCAAAGTGGATGTTTTCTCCCGACTGTTGTTGTTGTCATTTAGCAGACGATGCTGCGCAGCAGACTGTAAACAAGTGTTCTTACGGCCCACAGCTAATGTGAAACTACTCTATCAAAAATAAATAAATAACAAAAATGCTCAAAAATAAATAGACAAACACTAAAACTAAGGACATTCTATCTATAATTTCAGTTAGTTTTACAAAAAGATCATACAGTTTTAGTTAGTTTTTTCATTTTATTACAGTTTTTATTTATTTTAGTTAACTAAAAAGTTTTTCAATTTCAGTTTTAGTTTTTTAGTTAGCTTTAGTTAACTATAACAACCATGGTCCGTGAAAAGTATCTTGGGGGTCCTCAAAAATTTTCACTAAATTGTTAATTTGTATAATGATGTGATTGTGATGCTGAATTTCTGAGTGTTTTATGTGCTGCAGAACAGGAATCTGCTGTAAAACAGCAATTATGCTGAGTCAGGCTTGATTTTTAGTAATCTTTTCCTGCTAAATCAAATCAAAATAAAAAAATATGGTTTTTATTTTTAAAAACGCGTGGAGAACAATGAACTAATAAAACAAACATAATAAGCTTAATACAAATATATAWTCCCATGGCATTTAGGGGTTGAAATGAGAATAAACCACCTTTTAAAACAGCATGGGGTTTATGAGGGGGTCCCTGGAGTTTTTTCGTCCTTGTAAGGGGTCCCCAGACCCAAATGGTTTGAGAACCCCAATCTCACCTCGTCGAATCTCCTCCGTTTTTCAGACGGCTCGGAGCCTTSGTCGCTTTCGTTTCCAGAGTCCCCGCCGTCCTCGTCCTCCTCGTCTCGAAAGATGTCGTCGTACGAGGGCACGTCCAGGTCGTCGTCCTGTTTGATCAGCAGCTTGATCTGCGAGGGGGGCGGAGGAGAAACATGGAACTCCAGCTTGTAATACACTCACGTGGCGCCAATCTTAATCTAACGTTTGGACTGAGCTGATCCCCGTACATCACCTGAGTGTCATTATAGACATTAACCACGTCCACGGGCCGGTGAGTGTCGCAGATGAAGAAGATGGAGTCATCATCAGGCTGCAGCATCTCCAGGAGGTCGACGTTCGCCCCGCAGTTGATGAGAACAAAGTATCGAAACTGCAGCACAACCAAAACAATTTAGTTTATTGTGTTTTCTCATATCAGGCATATTTGTGTGTACACTTAAAGTCTGATATGATAAACCTGCTCTTTGTGTTCCAGAAAGGCAGTGCAGAGTTCCTGCCAGCCTGTAACTGGCACCAGCGTGTATTGGATGTGGTCACAGTGAAACAGYGCCTAACACAGACACAAAAATATTTTTGCCTACAGGAAGTAAACTGGGCGGATAGATACATGAACAAGACAAATAAAAACATGGTATAATAAAAATTACACATAAAATAGAAGCACAGTTGTGTCTTCTGTCTGCAGCCTACCTACTGGATTATGGTGATGCTGTTTATATGAATGCACCAGCCAGCTCTCTGCATGTGTTGGATGTTGTTAATCATGGAGCATTTATAACAAAATGTAAACCTCTATACCCTGTACTCGGTGGTAAACTGGCCATTATTATCTACCCACAGACTTCTACACTGGTGTACCTTTATTTAAAAATATATCATTAGTCTGCTTCCTAGCTACATTCAAAGATGTCACAAAGACAGTAGAGTCGTCGTTCCCAGGATTTTATTTCTTTCACTGTCCCCTTAGTTTGCCAATATTTTACTCTATTTTCCTGGAATTCACTGCAGCAAGAACTGAAACTGTCTAGTTTGAGCCCTTTTTCCTGGACTTACAGCGAGATACTAGTAAACTAAATGTTTTTATTTGCTAAACTAACTATTTGCTTCACTAAATGCATATCTGGAATAGTGAGCTGCTATTACAAAGAAATGGTTCACCTCATATAAAAGGACAGGTGTAACGTAAGGTATGAAATCAATGTTATTGTAGTGGAAAATATATATAACCTTATGATGTACTTAATATGATGTTAATGGACCATTCTGTGAAGATAATAACAATGTGTTGCACAAAAGTCAGCATTAATCTAACAACAAAACAATAAGTAGGTGATAACGATAGGTCAGTTTGAACATTTTCTGATTTTCACCATGTTTTACGATCACGAACAGATAAAGAGTTAACAAACATTTATTTACCTGGAGTATTTTACAGGCGCAGAGGGCATCGATGTCCGTTGCAACCATTAGAGCGACTCTCTGAACGCAAATAAACACAGTTAGACAAAACAAAAGCTTTCTGTATCGAAGTTATAAACCAGGCTAGCCAGACTTAGCTAACAAACCCGTTTCTGTTGCGAATTAGCTCGCGACATACGTACCTGGTTGGCTACAACTTCATAAAAATCCTTTCTTATGTCGGTGACGAACATTTTTCCAGTGTCGAATTAAAAACGCGTGTGACGAAAGAAGTCTGATAAACCCCCCTAAAATGATTTAAACCGGTGTTTGTTCTTGTTTGCTGTCAGATATCGCCACTGCAGAGTTGGCGATGTTGTGTTCCTTGTTAGAAATGAGGCGCCAAATCCCTGCGTCACTTCCGACCAATCAGATTGTAGGAGCCTGGTGTACGTCACAGATGTAAACCACACCCATTACTCTCAGAGCCTCAAGCGAAACCAAGCATGCCTCTCACAGTATCATATTACAACAAATTTAAACAGGTAAAAACGATTTWAAAAAAAAATTACGTGAGTTTTATCATTCCAGTTTAAAGTGCAGTAAACTAATTTCTACTTTTAATCTCTGCAAGTCAACAAAATAAAATATGCAAACACCACTAAGGAGCAATAAGCATCATGGACAATCTGGACACTGTGTCAGATTAAGCAGCTAGTTATGACAAAACTCAAAACAAAGTTTAAGAATAAAGTCAGATCAGATTTCATCATWTCTCGTTTAACAAACAGGTGGAATGACTTATAAATCAGTAAAACATACATGATTTTATAAAAAAAAATGTAGCATTATAATAACAAAAACAAGTGCTATCAAATATGAATTCCAATTTATTTATCATCACATGTGAAGGTGAAACAAAAAGGTCCCAAGTTCAAGTAAACCCCAACATGCCCCCAAATAAAATATGCTTGTAAATGATTCCAGAAATATTAGGTTTGACTGAGGTTTAAAAATGTCCACACAGAAACACTGACTCCATCAAAAAAATAACATTTATGACTGATATCTTTTTCTCTGAGGTAAAGAAAGGCAGCATGCCACATTTCAGCACTGTTTTGTATTTTTACATGTGAACCCAGCTGTGGAAATAATACAAATAAAGACTCGTAACGAGGTTACAGAGACAGCTCGTGCAATGCTTCATTCATTGACTGAGATTTACTGTGTGCTAAACAAAGGCACAAAGTCACTGATTTCCCCTCGGCTCAGTTTGGTCTAAAACCTTTGCGATCCTGACAAGTTCTGCTCAGTTAACAGCATCAAAAACTCAATAGAAATTAAAAAAGGCCAAAAAATATCACAAACGTTTCTTCTAAATCAGAGAAATAAAACTCACAAAACAAATAAATCAAAAACTGCAGAATTTCCTTTTCCCCCTTTTAAAGCTGATGAAAGCTACAACAAATAACCGATAAAAGTTGTGTTTTGAATTTCAGATATTCGCAGCTTAGTAAACCTGACCAGCACGAGGTTAGCACCATCACCTGGAGAGGACACGACCCGACTCCGCTCAGATTCATTAAAAAAGAAAAAGAAAAAAAAAGACCCAGTTCTGCTTTTCATTGCTCTTCGCTCCTCCTTCTGTGAACATTCAGAGATAAAGAGGCCACAGAGCAGGTGCGCTGTTACAAAAACTCATGATAATATGTAACGTTCAACTGCAGCAGAGATTAGAGTCAGATTTAAAGTACAGCAGGAACAAGAAGAACTATAAGAAGCAAAAAGGGGCACTGCTACATTTGAATGTTTTACAAAGAATTGGCCACACATAAGCAGATATTTAAAAAAATATGAATAAAAATAAAAATCTGAACATATCATAGGAAGACATGAAGATTTAAACAAAAAAACAGCTGATAAAGTGGCATTTGATGAGTTTGTTTTACAAAAAACAAACTCAAATCTGAAACTTTAAAAGGTTTTTGTGGCTGAAGCATCATTAAATTCTGTGATGAATGCACTGAACTGGTTAAACATTTTTTTGTTGTTTTTTTTTTTAGGTTGTTCTTTACCAAAATGATTAAACTAATGTTATAATAGCAATGCGCACGCTGGCAAACTGTTCAACTTCATACTCCACCCATTATACATAAATAATCTGTATCAATTTTTACCGCAAGCAAAATAGAGAATATCTCTAAAGTTTCCTTATTTTAGATCATTTTGTCTCCTTTAAATGTGCTAAGACTCAAAATGTGATTTTATTTTCCTGGAACAGATAATCCTTATCAAAAGATTTTCTGAGGTGTGCTTCTTTCACACACTACAACCTGCTCCAAAAAACACAAAGAAAAACAAACTTTGTGTTGCTAACAAGCTCATTTTTTTGAGCTTCTGTCTTGCTCACTGTACCATAATATCAAGAATAGGCATTCATGCAAACAAGTTAAATTCAGTTTCCTGGTTTCTGCACTAAAGTTTAAACTCCGTTTGTTTAAAAAGTTGCAAGTTTACAAACAATCACATGTAACAGATATATCAAATTTACCCAGTATGACATCTTAAGGTTTGAACAAGTTCATTTCCTAATGCAAATATATATTAAAAAAAATCCCACAATAGTTTTAAACAACTGATAGATTGTAATGAAGTCCAGTTTAACCAAACCTTAATTTACACAGATCACCATATAACCCATTTGTGACACCTAAAGGGAGGATAATCCAGTGACAGCTGCTCTACAGGGGCAGGAGAAAGTTGGAGTTGGCCAATTTACGCTCCTGCGCAGAGGGGACCGTCTCTCTGTGACGGAGGGGTCTGTGGGAGTCCGGATCCTGAAGGGGAGGGAAGTGCTGCCTGTAGCAGAGCCAGGCGATGGTGAGACCCAGCAGAGACCCGACCAGTACATCTACACAGAGGACAGAGAGGACGTAAATCAAGGTTCCCATGAAAGAGCTCAACWGTTTGTGAATGTTTGTTTAGATTATTTGGCTTCTTTTCCTTCCTGTTTTTRTTAATGTTTTACAATTTAATCTACAGAGAAATGACCACACAATGTGAGATTAAAATGTTTCCTGTGGGGTAAATGGATGTGACTTTATTTGCTACTTAGGTTAAAAATTTATTGCTTAAAGAGCCTGTGACATTAAATTTTTTGTAATAAATATGAATGCGTTTTTTTTAAAACACAACATTGATAAGATATTGCAAAACAAATTTCACGCCCCTGAGATGAACAGCTGAGATATTTGCACGTGAAGAAACAGGAAGTGATGTCAAAGGGGAATGTCTGCATGTAAACAGAGCTTTGTTACAACAGCTCATAACACAGACAGTAAAGAAGAATCTGATGTTTCTTTAGATTAATGAGTCACTATCAAACATGCATGATGAAGAGTTAAAGTTTAAATGACACAGTTTTAATAAACAAAGACCAGAGAGTTTATTTTATTAATGAGTTCCCCTTTGATGTCACTTCCTGTTTCTCATTGGCTGAGCCAAATCCAAAAGAAAATAGGCCAGTTGTGTGACAAAATGAGTAAAATCATGTGTATCATCCAAGTTTCTTAAGTATAAAGATTTTTTTTTTCGTTTTTGTACTTGAAGGATATGCACGTCACAGGTACTTTGATAATAAGTTAAAACATTGCTCAAATTTTTGAGGCTCATTTTAAAAATAGCCTGCTTTGTCTCATCAATGCATAATCCAAAAACACAAAAACACAAAGCGTCTACTAAATCTCTGCCTTGCAAAGTTAAAAAGTTACATCAAGCAACTGRCTTTAATGGCGTAATTCTGAACAGAAAAGTAAATTTAACATGTTTAATTAAAAATAGATCAAGTTTTGCAGTTTGATTTACAAAGAAAGTGACTCCTAACCTCAAATTTGAAATTCAGTTGAATAAGGACAAACTATTTCTGTTACATAACTGCTTTAACTTTTTTTTTAATTAACATGTTCTGTAGTTGTTGTTTTTTTAATACTTTGTATTATTTCCCTCATTTTTATGTCATCAGTCCAGGACTGATTCTTTCATTCCATTTATTTACAAACAAAACAATCTGAAAAGGAGGAACTGGGCTTCAGCAGACATTATGTTCAGCATATTTTAACAAATAAATACTTTTCTTTTTTCATTGTTCAAATCTGAGCAGGGTTTTTAAACACCCACCTTGCCAGTGGTGTTTGTAGTCGCAGGTTCTGGACAGGGCAATCACAGCTGCGATGAGGAGAGGGGTGAGGAAGGCACACAGCCGCCACGCTTTGCCCTGACCCGCCGCACTGAAGCAGCGCAGCTTTCCTCCAACATACAGAGCCGTGAAACCCAGACCTGCAAAAGCAACTGAGATAGAATAAAAAGAGAAAAGTGATCAGAGTTTTTATAGACCTGGAGAAGTCAGAAGATTTCTACAGTTTCAAAATAAAAGCCCCTGAAGGTAAAACTGCACATACAGTATGTAGATCTATTTAATAGAAATGTTTTCATCCATATAAACACGTGAACAAAATGCCTCTTACAGGAAGAGTGCCCGCTGGGAAAGCTCTTTCTTCCCTCCATGACAGCATCTGGGTCACCGCTGCAGCGCAGCTCCAAGTTCATCTGACCGTCAGGGAAACAGCGGTAGAAGAAGTCTGGCCTCGGCCTGAAGGAAAAAGAAAAAAAAAAAAAGAAAAAAGAAAAAGAAAAGAGGAAACACAGGGAACATGTTTAGGCTTCATACTCTGCAACAGAGGCTAAAACGTTTTAACGACGCTCAGTAGTCCCTGTTTACCTGCCCACTACAAGTTTGATGACGTTGGTGAAAACTCCATTGAGCACCAGAGTCAGAGTCACAGCTGGAGGACAGGAGGAGAAACACAACTGAATCATGAAAAACAGTCAAAACGCTCACTGACAGCTTCATCAGAAACCTGAGTAGATATGTTTGCTTCTCACCCAAAGAGGCTTCTTTTAGCTCTCCATGCTCCGATTTATTCAACACGGTGAAAACCAGAATTACAATCAGGGGGGTGAAAACAGCTACACTCTGAAAGAGACAAACATGACCAAAGTGACATTTATGAGTTGCACGATTAATTCATTAATAACCTGGGTTTAGCTCCAGTATCAGTACTTGTAACTGCATTTTATTTTACATCTCATTGCAGCAAAAAAATCTCATTAGCTAAGTTACTGAACAAATTTTTCAGTCTGTGATGAATTTCCAAACTCCCACAGTTTTTGTTTTCCTGTTTAGCTTGCTGAAGGTGTAAYGAGTGCTGGGATATTGTAAGGATACGCAGATGCAGCCTATGCTTTGAGGTTTTGTGGAACGCATGAGGAGTCTACAAAATGTGTCTACGACGTGGCGCAATAACGTAACCAGCCTCTGAACTGAGACAGCCAAAATCTGCACAATTTATTTCCCCTCATTTAAATGATTAAGTGTATTTGAATTAAAGGGGCAATATCGTGTAAAATCAACTTTTTTGAGTTTTATATCATGTTATAATGTTATACTCTCATAAAAAAAACATGCCCAAAGTCTTGCTTTGACTCATTCATGCATGTTTGAGAAATCCTGCAGCGTTTTTAGGAAGCCATGCTGAGGAGCAAGGTAGGGACCAGAAATGCCTTTTGGTACCAGAAACACCTCTAGGATGCGTCTTTAAGCCAAACTTCCTCATGGCAGAGCGCACCCCCTCCCTACACATCCCGCCCATGACTTCTGCAGGCTCTCGGCAGTAACAAAGCAAACGGGTGAAAGTGAAAGTGAAACTGTCTGCTGAGCTCCTAACACTACTCACTCAGTGAAGCTCTTTTCAGATTCAAAATACCTTTGAAAAACCTTTGATGCCAAGTAAACTGCATCATAGCACACACACACACACACACACACACACACACACACACACACACA